CTGGAGTCCTGGGATCGAGTCCCGCGTCGGGCTCCCTGCTCAGCGGGGAGTCTGCTTCTCCCTCTGACCCTCTCTCCTCTCATGCTCTCTCTCTCACTCTCTCTCTCTCAAATAAATAAATAAAATATTTTAAAAAAATAAATAAAAAAATAAAAACTGATAGGATTAAAGATAGACTGGATTTGGGAAAGGAGTAAGAGAAAAGAGTAAAATATGACTCAGTATATTTGTTAGGAGTAACTGGAAGGAAGAAAGGGTGTTTATAAAGCCTTTCACTGTGAATCCTATCAGTCTTAGATTAAGAAATGTTTTAAGGATCTAATATTTCCTCAGAAACACACTAAGTGCTAGAGACAAGAATGAGCTTTAACCTAGCCCAGAAACCAAGATATCTCAACAGAAAGCCATCACTGAACCAGAGGATTCAATTCAACAAACATCTGAGTATCTACTGTATTCTAATTATTGTACATACCATAGAACACCACAAGTGTGTGGGTGCTGTGCTCCATATAACACTTATGGGATGTTTGAAAAGAAATGAATGGCAACTAGAGATTTAGGGGAAGGCTTTGCTGACAGGGCTGAGAAAAGAGATTGGACTCTGAAGTAAGGAATAGCATCCAACCAGAAGAACTGCATAAATAAATGCTCAGAACTGGAAATTAACCTGGAAAGTATGGACAGCAGGGGCTACAGGATTTCCACCCCAAGCAGCTCCACCAACAAGAAAATGAATGCATACTCGCATGGGTGTGGGGTGTGGCCTATCACCCTCTTTCAAATGTCATGGTTTACCTACTGTCACATGGGCCTTCACTCACACTGTGCACTCTGAAACGGAAGCACAAAAATGACAATGTACTTCTCCAAAGCTGGTCAGCAAATCCCCCAAAAGTTTTTCCAGAGAGGACCCAAATCGATTTGTCATATACATTGAAAATAGGGAGAAAAAAATTTGAGCAAGGGCTTTAGGTTTCTATACTATTCAAAGAAAGAAAAAACTCAAGAATATTATCCAATTGCACATTTTAACCTAATATTTGCAACTTTGACCATAGATAAGAGTCACTTGAGGTACTTTTAAAAAATACCAATGTCCATGGGCACCTCAGTCAGTTAAGTGTCTGCCTTCGGCTCAGGTCATGATCTCTGGGTCCTGGGGTTGAGCCTTGGGTCAGGTTCCCAGCTCAGCAGGTCGCCTGCTTCTCCCTCGTCCTCTGCCGCTCTCCCTGCCTGTGCTCGCTTGCTCACTCTCGCCCTCTCAAATAAATAAATAAAATCTTAAAAAAAAAAAAAAAAGAGGGGCGCCTGGGTGGCTCAGTCGTTGAGCATCTGTCTTCGGCTCAGGTCATGATCCCAGGGTCCTGGGATCGAGTCCCGCATCGGGCTCCCTGCTCAGCGGGAAGCCTGCTTCTCCTTCTCTCACCCCCCCTGCTTGTGTTCCCTCTCTCGCTGCATCTGTCAAATAAATAATAAAATCTTTAAAAAAAAAAAAGATTGTGATTCCAATGTGCAGCCAGGGTTGAGAACTACTGCTTCACTGAAATGCAGGGGAATCTGTTGTTCCAGATTACTCTTTGGCAACCTCTGTTGTTCCCAATTCTGATTTTTGCAACATCCCAGAGTATCTCCAGCATGGGGTGATATTACAAATACAGTTGACCCTTGAATAACACAGGTTTGAACTGCGCAAGTACATTTATACATGGGTTTTGTTTTTTGTTGTTATTTTTTTTCCAGATATATATAGTGGGAGTACCATAAATATATTTTCTCTTCCTTGATTTTTTTTTTTTTTAAGATTTTTATTTATTCATTTGAGAGAGGGAGAGGGCGCACAAGCCGGGGGAGAGGCAGAGGGAGAGAGAGAAGCATACTCCTCACTGAGCAGGGAGCCCGACATGGGGCTTGATCCCAGGACCTGGAGATCATGACCCGAGCTGAAGGCAGACGCGCAACAATCTGAGCCACCCGGGCGCCCCTCTTTATGATTTTCTTAACATTCTTTTCTCCAGCTTCCTTTATTGTAAGCATTAGACACAGCATACAAAATATGTATTCATTGACTGTTTATGTTCTTAGTAAGTCTTCCTGTCAACAGCAGGGTATTAGCAGTTAGGTTTTGGGGAAGTCAAAAGTTATACACAGATTTTATCAAAAACTAATGATGTAATGTATGGTGGTTAACATAACAATAAAAAATTATTTAAAAAAAAAAAGTTACACACAGATTTTCAACTATGCAAGGGATTGGCACCCAAACCGCCCCCCCAAATTATTCAAGGGTCATTTATTTAATAACTGGTACAGCATTAAACAGAAAGTAGACTGATGACAGCACTAGAACTGAGTCAAGATTCCCTGCTGGTGGCAGGGGGAAGGGGTTTGGGCGGGAGGCAGACAGGGAGGAGTGGGAACACAGAGGGCAACAGCTATGTCACTAGTCCAGCTACTTTAACAACTGGCACATGCTGGCTCAATACCAGCCTTCTCTCCAGCTTTCTCATAGGGTATGATAAAACTACCAAAATAAAATTTTTCTGTTCCTGACTTATTGAAAGAAACAGAAATGTAGGGTGCATGGCCCTTTGAACAACATAAGGATCAGTGCTGTATAATCAAATATCAAAGACCAGAGGTAGGCAGTAATTCCATAAAGTAGGGGAACTGTTTTCTAAAATCAAAAATAGGGATGCCTGGCTGACTCAGTCAGAAAAGCATGCGACTCTTGATCTCAGGGTAATAAACTTTAAAATCAAAAATAGTATAATCCTGGGGCACCTGATGCCTGGCTCAGTCCATACAGCGTGTGGCTCTTAATCTCTGAGGTCACGAGTTCAAGCCCCACATCGGGCAGAGAGTTTACTTAATCAAAAAAAAAAGTATAATCTATCCCATCACTGCATCTATTGCACAGTTCTATAATATCCAGAATTCACTTTAAAAGTTATTTCTTAATTTCTCACAGGGCAGTTCTCTACATGTCACGTAAGCCACCGGTAAGAAAACTAACAGACATAGGTAGGGGCTGTATCTGATGCCATCTGAACTTGATTTTCCTGTTGAGCATGCAGCAACATGCTATCTTCCTTCTTTACAAACTGGCTATCTCTACACAAATTCTAAATATTTTCTTAGTTATGGTTTACTGCTTGTCTCTCTACTAGAATGTATATTCTTTGAGGACAGGGACATGTTCTATTCTACATCCTTAGGACCCAGAATAGTGCCTGGCACATAACAGGCAGTCAATATTTGGTAAATGAATAAATGAATGAATGACTACTTTAAAACAATCTGCACTGTAGCTGACCTTAACGTGCCCACTGGAAACGTGTTTGAGGAATTGACCTAACAACGATGCTTAGAAAGAGAAATCCCAGGGGCGCCTGGGTGGCTCCGTCGGTTAAGTATCTGCCTTGGGCTCAGGTCATGATCCCAGGGTCCTGGGATCGAGCCCCACATCGGGCTCCTTGCTCAGGGGGGAGTCTGCTCCTCCCTCTCCCTCTGCTGCTCCCCCTGCTTGTGCTCACTCATGCACTCTCTGTCAGATAAATAAATAAAATCTTTAAAAAAAAAGAGAGAGAGAGAAATCCCAAACTACCATAAGTTACAAAAACTAGAGTATATTTATCCTACTCAATCCTTATATCTGTCCTTGTCAATACTGGGTCACATATGACATGTAATTTTACCTTATTAACAATTATTTCACTACACTGAAACTCATAGTAATGAAATATCATTAGCACTTACAAGTTAAATTTCTCCAGCATCTAAAAATTGTAAACCAGCATAAAAATTAGTACATGCCAACAGCCTTAAAAAAGAAAAAAAAAAGGCTGGCTGCATATTTCAAGGTTAGACTGGTTATTTTATATCATTTTTCCTAATTACCAAAGCAATACCCATAGAAATATTTGAAAATACAGAAAAACATAAAGAAGAAAAAGTGGCACCTGTTATATTCTCACTACCTGGAAGAGTCCTGGGATTCAGTATCTCAATTTAAATTCTTGGGGCACAGAACCAATACTCTGCCTCAGGCTACTGGCTCACTGAAACATCATGTCACAATTCATTAAATTAAATGAAACATCATGTCTCATTTAAGTTTTGTGATCCTTTCTACAAGCTTTTATACACATTACCTCATTCACCTATACAACACCAGCACAGTGCAGAGATTAAGAGTGAAAACTCTGGGGGCACCCGGGTGGCTCAGTCAGTCAAGCGTCTGCCTTTGGCTCAGGTCATGATCCCAGAATCCTGGGATAGAGCCCCTCGTCAGGCTCCCTGCTCAGCAGGGAATCTGCTTCTTCCTCTCCCTCTGCTCACGCTCTTTCTCTTGCTATCTCAAATAAATAAATAAAATCTTAAAAAGAGAGAGAGAGAGAACTCTGGAGCCAGAATACTTGAGTGGGAACTCCAGCTCCACCACTTACTAGGTTGGTGTTCTTGCACACTTGAAACCTTTATGCTTCCACCTTCCACATCTGTGAGAAGCTAATAACAGTACCTGAGAGAGCTGTCATAAGAATTCAAGGAGTTAACATTTGTAGAGCATTTAAGTGTGTGTGGCAAAACTAGGGGCGCCTGGGTGGCTCAGTCATTAAGCGTCTGCCTTCGGCTTGGGTCATGATCCCAGGGTCCTGAGATCGAGCCCCGCATTGGGCTCCCTGCTCGGCTGGAAGCCTGCTTCTCTCTCTCCCACTCCCCCCCTGCTTGTGTTCCTGCTCTCGCTATGTCTCTCTCTAATAAATAAATAAAATATTTTTTAAAAAAACTAAGCATTTGCAAAATACATTTTCCCAAAAGCAAAAATTACTCTTTCAATATTCAAGTGGATAAACGGTCTGCATATTTTATGCAAACCATTTACCTAACAATCTGACAAACAGGCCTTACAATTAGGTAGAGAACTGTTTCAAGAAATAAAATTCCTAATGATCATCTAACTAAAAGGTCTTAGGGTAAATGGAAGGGGAAAAAATTACCTCATAAACTTGTCCAATATGTCCTCTACCCACATGTGCATTCGGAGGGACTGAAATCCATAGTGCCAAATTAGTTTAATCATGTTAATTATAAACCAGCTGCTCTCCTCAAACACCAGAGTCTCTCCGTTATACACCCCCATTAGGCCACCAGAGCTCTGAATAGTAAAGAGACCTGCAAAAACAGAGAAAGGGTTAGCTAAACTCAGGGTTTCTATGTTGATCAAATGAAAGAAGATCATCTGAAGCTAGGGGGACACTCTGAAGTGCATGAATTCTGGGCTTCCCCCAGTTCTCAGGAAACATATTAAAGGAGCTCTATCTTTAGAACAGTGTGTAATACACTATTCATTCACTACACTGTCCTAAAGCAGATCTCTAAAGGATAGGTCAGATGGTCATGCACATATATCAAAATCAGACTGGCTATTTTTAGTTGAAAAAGACTAAAAAGTCCAAGGAAAATGTCAGAATACAAACTGAATTCAATTTAAAAACAGAAATGTTGGGCGCCTGGATGGCTCAGTCAGTTAAGCATCTGCCTTCAGCTCAGGTCATGATCCTGGAGTCCTGGAATCAAGCCCTGCATCGGGCTCCCCGCTTAGCAGGGCGTCTGCTTCTCCCTTTGCCCTTCCTCCTGCTCATCCTCTCTCTCTCAAATAAATAAAATCTTTTTAAAAAATTTAAAAAAAAAAACAAACATCAGACATGAATATTTGCAGCATTAACTGCTCCTGGCATATATTTGCCCTCATGGAGGAAAGTGGCTCAGGAAGCATCCATAGGAGATGTGGGAAGCAGCAAAGGGAAAGGAGGCATCGCCATTCCTGTGTAAATCCTATTTTGCATAACTGGCTATTTCAGATAGCAAAAACATAAGAAGGCAAAAATTATACAATATTCTCTGAGCAAAGGGCCTGCTGAGGCCTCCCAGACTTCCCCCAACCTGTCCAGCTCCTCTGCTGGCAGGGAAGCAGTCAGATGTCCCAGGTTCTAGGCACATGTCTGGACCCATACCTGTGTGAGTGACTTTAAGCTAGACACCGAAAGCCTCTGGGCCTCATTTTCCCAGCTGTAAATGAGAACACAAGGTTTCTCTAATTCAAACCATTCTTTGATTCTTTAACATGAACCCAGAGGTTTAAGAACCAAGAACAGCAACCATCCCCACCCACCCCCCCAATGGCTGTAATTCCAGATAACTGAAGATACAGATAACTAGTGTCCCATTACGGGAAAGTGGCTCCTAACTAAGCTTGCACTAATTGCTAGCAGCAAAGTGAGGAAAATCGTTTTACCAACTTCTCTGTAAAAGACAACAAGGCGGAAAAGTTTCAGTTCCCTATCTGATAAACATATCCATGGATGGTCACAAAGAAATCTGCTTAGCTCTAAGAACAAATTACATACCCAGGTCCTTGACAAAACGCTTCATGTGCAGATTTAAAGGATGGATGACAGAACCTCCTGCCTCATATTCTTGCCCTCGGACAGTCATTGTGGCCAGGCGGCCTCCCACCTCTCCTCTTTCAAACAGGTCAATCTTCACATCTTTCCCAAATTTCTGCCGCAGATAATAGGCTGCTGAAGTGCCACCAATTCCAGCTCCAATAATTGCTATGGATGGGAAAAAAAAAAAAAGGAACAGTTTCCTTCTTACCCAGCTATGTGGGTTTTGTTTTTGAATAACAGATGTTAGTCAAGGCTATTACCACCAATTTAGGGAAGCTGGGGACCCAGGGGCAAGTGACAGTTGCTGAAGACAGAACTCTCTGAATCTGGACAGACACGGCCCTCGGACAAAAGTGGTAGTACATCAATGTACAAATTGACATTGGATTGGGGGGGCAGATCCCCAGAGGTTCTCATAGTTCTTTGTTGAGACACCACTGGTTCTGCACAACCTTCTTTGCGCCCAACGCATGGCAACAGAGGAGGTGGGCCTTTCCAGCACGCATTTTAAATAAAGTGGCCGCCATTTGTGCCAAGATTTGTTCTGTCTCATTAATATAGACGGGTTAATGCCCCCACAAAACAAAGCTTTAAGGGGAACAAGAAAGCAAACCAAACACGGCAAAAACCAAGACTGAAACTTAAGAGTGGATTATTTCGGCTGTGCAGTAGTCCTAGGTAGAGGAATTGTGCAAGCTAGGGCCTCTGGGAGCAGGCTGACCTCAGCAAAGTGGAAGTGGGGAACGGGGTTCCAGTCCCCCCTATCAAGGGAAGCAGACGGGTCTGCCTGTTTGCACTGCTCGGCGTGCTGTGACCGCGTGCGCCTGTCATCCGCAGAGCGAGGCGGCCGGTCGCTCCAGAACCAGAAGACTGGCCTCCCAAAGATGCAGCAAGCGAAGGAAGCGAGAGGGTCCTCGGCCTCCGCAGATCCCCAGGCCTCTGAGACAGGGGCACAAGGAGCGCTTGGCGGCCGCCCGCCCCGATACTCCCTCCACCGCCCATTCCCGTAGTGGGCACATCGACAAGGTCCCAGGAAGACACGGTCCCTGGGGCACCGACAGCGACCCTGAGTCACGAACTTAGAAGACCGCGACCTGCGCGGAGGACTCGGCGCGCGCGGCCTGGTGGACGTAGCGGCCGCGGGGCCTGCTGCACTGCGTAGCGGCCGCCCGGCGCGGGGCGCGCTCCCGCACCCTTTCAGTGCCGTCCCTCGCCCCCGTCACCTACCGATCTTATCTGGCGGGGCCCGCAGCTCGGCGCTCCCGGGGCACCCCCAGCTGCACAACAGCAGCCACAGCCCCAGAAGCGACGAGACGAGCTCCCCAGCCGTGAGCCCCATGGCTCCCGCAACGCAGCAGTCCACAGCAGCGCCCTATAGTCCGCGGCTGCTAGGCGTCTGCGCGCTCCGCACGCCCCGCCCCCGACCGGCCTCGCCCCTCCGAGCCCCGCCCAAGGAGCGGGGCGTCCTCCAGGAGCTTCCAAGCATGGTCCGTTCGGTTCCCAAGCATGTCCCGCCCCTTCGAAACGCACCCTACTTCTGGAACACACCAAAGGCACCAGGAGCACCAGAGGCGGAGGCTCACCCCAGCTCGCCACCTTACTCTCCTTCTATTCAGGTGGAGCATCACTTCTTCACTAGTGCCCTCTTCTGTCCTTTCAGTCTCTCCGTGTCAGAGAATGCACAAAGCAAATCACTGTCAGACCCATGGAGCAACAAATGCTTACTGAGTGACCACTATGTTCCGGGGACTGTTGGGCATAAGATGAAGGGGTAAACAGTGATCGCTGAAAGGGAAAATGAGGGCGACCAGGGATGGGGTGGTCCAAGGTGGAAAATAATGGCAGATATGAATAAAAGTAATGTGCCCGTATCACACAGTAGAGCATTATGCAAGCATTAAAAAGAATGTAGGACCTATCCTGGTATTGTTAGGTGAGAAAAACTAGTGGCTGAGTGATGGGTATTATAAGATCCCATTTTGTAAGTAAAATACCCCACCTCCACTCTTCCCCCACCCCTCCAAAAGAAAACAAAACAAAAAACCAGTATGTGAACATGAAGAACAGTGTGGATGGAAGGAGCAGAAGTTGGATAAAAAGAAATATTGAGGGGCGCCTGGGTGGCTCAGTTGGTTAAGCGACTGCCTTCGGCTCAGGTCACGATCCCAGGGTCCTGGGATCGAGCCCCGCATCGGGCTCCCTGCTCAGCGGGGAACCTGCTTCTCCCTCTCCCACTCCCCCCGCTTGTGTTCCCTCTCTCTCTGTCTCTCTCTCTCTGTCAATTAAATAAATAAAACCTTTAAAAAAAAAAAATATTGAACTTGGAAAAAGGAAGTATAAAACCCAGTGCAAAAAGCACTCATTCATTGGACAAATATTTATTGAGTTCCTACTAAGTGGCAAGCAATGTTCTAGGTGCTTGAGAAAAATCAGTGAACAAAACAGATTTTTTAAAATATTTATTTTAATTGAGCTGATATTCTAGTGAAAGGAGATATGGTAATTAGAACAAATAAGTAAATGATGTATTATACAGAGTGGGGTAAGAAGAATGAGGAATGGGTTACAGTTTTAAATAAGGTGGTTGGGGTAGGCCTCATTGAACAGGATAGCATCTAAGCAAAAGCTTGCAGGAAGTGAGGGAGTGGGTCAAGCAAACATCTGGGGGAAGAGCTTTCTTGGTAAGGAAAATACCTGGCATGTTTGAAGAACAGCAAGGAGTCCAGTTAAGCAGAGAAAGAAAGAGTGAGTGAAGGTGGTTTTAATGAAAAAAGATGCAAATCATACAAGGAATAAACACTCCTAGTTAAGAACATAAAAAGATGGGGGCGCCTGAGTGGCTCAGTCGTTAAGCATCTGCCTTCGGCTCAGGTCACGATCCCAGGGTCCTGGGATCGAGCCCCACATCGAGCCCCACATCGAGCCCCACATGGAGCCCCACATCGGGCTCCCTGCTCGGCAGGAAGCCTGCTTCTTCCTCTCCCACTCCCCCTGCTTGTGTTCCCCCTCTCGCTGTGTCTCTCGCTGTCAAATAAATAAAATAAAAATCTTAAAAAAAAAAAAGAACATAAAAAGATGAAGAGTAAGCCCCCTTTTTCACTATATCTAGAAATTACAAAGAAAGAACTAAACTCTCTGTGTCTTTTACTTTCCTTTTTCCAAACTACATTATCCTCACAACACAATTACCCATGCATTGAGCCTACTAGGCTCTCAGTAAGTGTTTGTTGGTTGATTAGAATGGACCTCGTTAGTGACCTTGACACGTGTCATCTTTGGAAGCTTTCACTGCTGCTGCTGAAAGCTTGGGAAAGAGTTTACTGAAAGAACACTCAATGGGTGCCTGGGTGGCTCAGATGGTTAAGCGTCTGCTTTCGGCTCAGGTCATGATCCCAGGATCCTGGGATCGAGTCCTGCATCAGGCTCCCTGCTCCTTGGGAGCCTGCTTCTCCCTCTGCCTCTCTCTCTCTCTGTCTCTCATAAATAAATAAAATATTTAAAAAATAAAGAAAGAAAAGAACACTCAGTGAAAAGACAGTGTAAAGGACTTGCAAAGTGGAAGGTGGGTCAGAGGCTTTCTCGTTCCACACTCTTGCCCTTTCAAAGTAACGCTGCCACTGAAAACCCAAAAGGTTTTTAAAAAGGTCATAGAGGGGAAAATGTTACCATATATATGAAGAGTAATAATAAGGTAATATAGCAAACATTCATACAAAGGAGTGCTGTTCGAAAAAGCAGACTCCCCTCTAGGAGACTAAACACTTACTAATAAGGTTCTCTCCTTGACCAAACTCCAGCCAGGCTCCTCTGAGCAATCTACTCCACTAGGCAGTCCTTAGTCTTAGCCTATTAAGGCTTGAACAAAACACTAACATTTTCTAACAGCTCAAAGCTCTGTCCTTGGGATGACCCTAGCTACCTTTAAAGTGCCTGTCTGAAAAAAACTCAAGGCTGCCAAGACTACTGTTTGTTCCAGCCAACACATGATGACAGAGCCCCTGTCTCATAGCCTCTGTGGGAGGGTAGGAACCTAACTGATAAGCACCAGTTACCACCCTTTCTCTCAAGTTTTGTAATCTTTCACTTCCTGGACTCTACTGGGCCCCTGCTCATCCCCCTCCCTATACCTACATTCTCCCTTCAAAATGCCAGGTCACATCTATACAAATTGAAGTCAAGTTCAGATTATGCTAGAATCTTCCCTATTGCAATAGTGTATTACCGATTAAAAGTAAAACTTTAGTGCTGGCTTTGCTTATCTTTGATAACAGTTAAATCTATAATTCTACCACTGTTCCATGTTTCTTTTTCTTTTCTGAAACTACCTCGAAAAAATTCACTTTCATACCTTCTTACTGCCTTACATCTCACTTTTTTCATATTCTAAATAAACTAAATAAAATTTATTCCTTGTTAAGCAAGACAGGAAATTTAGAAACAATATGAGAAAAGATAAGCATATTTGACTACATAAAACTTAAACATTTTCAGATGGCAAAAGATAGAATTTTAAAAGTTTAAAAAAATAATACACCAGAAAAATATCTGCCACTAATACGGCAGGCAAGATTGCGGTATATATTGCAAACATACAAAGAGCTCTGCAAATTGATAAGAGGGCGCCTGGGGGGCTCAGTTGGTTGAGCGACTGCCTTTGGCTCAGGTCATGATTCTGGAATCCCGGGATCGAGTCCCACATTGGGCTCCCTGCTCAGCGGGGAGTCTGCTTCTCCCTCTGACCCTCCCCCCTCTCATGTGCTCTCTCTCTCGTTCTCTCTCTCTCAAATAAATAAATAAAATCTTTAAAAAAAAAGATAAGAGGTAAACAACTCAATATAAATACAGACTATATAAATAGGCAAGTCACAAAAGAGAAAGCAAGTGCCAATGCTCAAAACAACAAAACAAAAAAAACAAAACATACATGAATGGGAGCATTGGGTAAATGGGAAACCTCTACCTTCCTCTCAATTTTGTTGTAAACCTAAAACTGCTTTGAAAAAATAGAGTCTTTAAAAAATGAAATATACATGAAGAGATGCTCAATTCTAGTAGTAGTTTAAGTAAATGTAAATTAAAGATATACCATTTTTCATCTTTCATAATAGCAAAAACTAATAAGACTGACAGCTTACTGCAGGAGAAAATGAGGTGGAATGGATGGGGATCTCTGGAACTGACTTTCAAACATTGTTGTGGGGTGTGAATGACTAAAAACTTTTTATTTATTTTATTTATTTTTTTTTAAAGATTTTATTTATTTATTTGACAGAGAGACACAGCGAGAGAGGGAACACGAGCAGGGGGAGTGGGAGAGGGAGAAGCAGGCTTCCCGCGGAGCAGGGAGCCCGACGCGGGGCTCGATCCCAGGACCCTGGGATCATGACCTGAGCCGAAGGCAGATGCTTAACGACTGAGCCACCCAGGTGCCCCGTGACTAAAAACTTTTTAAAAACAATTATCTATTAAGATAGATATATAGATATACTGTCTAATCAAAAAATCCCACATTTGGGAATCTATTCTAAAGAAAAAAAGGATAAGGGTGCTCTTCCCCTAAGCGGCCTGAGGTGACCCCTGAAAATGGTTCACTATTCGCTTGACCCAGAAAACCCTACAAAATCATGTAAATCAAGAGGTTCAAATCTTCATGTTCACTTTAAGAACACATGTGAAACAGCCCAGGCCATCAAGGATATGCATATCCGAAAAGCCACCAAGTATCTGAAAGACGTCACTTTACAGAAGCAGTGTGTGCCATTCCGTCGCTACAATGGTGGAGTTGCTGGTGTGCCCAGGCCAAACAGTGGGGCTGGACACAGGGTCGGTGGCCCAAGAAGAGTGTTGAATTTTTACTGCACATGCTTAAAAATGCAGAGAGTAGGGCGCCTGGGTGGCTCAGTTGGTTGGGCGACTGCCTTCGGCTCAGGTCATGATCCTGGAGTCCCGGGATCAAGTCCCGCATCGGGTTCCCTGCTCTGCAGGGAGTCTGCTTCTCCCTCTGACCCTCTTCCCTCTCGTGCTCTCTATCTCTCATTCACTCTCTCTCAAATAAATAAAATCTTTAAAAAATAAAAATAAAAATGCAGAGAGTAATGCTGAACTTCAGGGTTTAGATGTTGATTCTCTGGTCATTGAGCACATCCAGGTGAACAAAGCCCCCAAGATGCGGCATAGAACGTACAGGGCTCATGGTCGGATTAACCCATACATGAGCTCTCCCTGCCACATTGAGATGATCCTTACTGAAAAAGAGCAGATTGTTCCTAAACCAGAAGAGGAGTTTGCACAGAAGAAAAAGATATCCCAGAAGAAATTGAAGAAACAAAAACTTATGGCCCAGGAGTAAATTCTGCAGAATAAATGCAAAAAAAAAAGAATAAGGGCGCCTGGGTGGCTCAGTCGTTAAGCGTCTGCCTTCGGCCCAGGTCATGATCCCAGAGTTCTGGAATCAAACCTTGCCTCAGGCTCCCTGCTCTGTGGGAAGCCCACTTCTCCCTCTCCCACTCCCCCTGCTTGTGTTCCCTCTCTCGCTGTGTCTCTCTCTGTCAAATAAATAAAAAATCTTTAAAAAAGAAATAAAAGAATCAGTTATAAGGGTATATGTACCCGGATGCTTATTGCAAAATTTTTTGTAGTGGTAAAACAAAACAAAAACGGGGGTAACCTAATGTCCATCAATACCATTTATGGGCGTTTATTCAATTTAACAAATACTGTGGCACATTCATTTTATGGACTATTTTGCAGCTAACAAAAAACCAGTAAATTAGATCTGTATTTGTTCAACTGGAAAATATCTATGATGTAAGTTTAAGTGAGAAAAGAAAGTTGCAAAGTAATAGCCATGGACTAACCACATTTTTTTTAAAGATTTTATTTATTTATTTGAGAGAAAGAGAGAATAAGAGATAGAGAGCACGAGAGGGAAGAGGGTCAGAGGGAGAAGCAGACTCCCTGATGAGCAGGGAACCCGATGTGGGACTATGATCCCGGGACTCCAGGGTCATGACCTGAGCCGAAGGCAGTTGCTTAACCAACTGAGCCACCCAGGCACCCTAACCACATTTTTTTAAATAAAAATCCCAAGTACTTAAATACATTTGCATTTGTATGATTGTAAAATAAGATGTGGAAGCCTACTGATTAATCTTTTTTTTCTAATTTTTTTTTAAAGATTTTATTTATTTGCAGAGAGAGAGAGCACAGGCAGGGGGAGCGGCAAGCAGTGGGAGAAGCAGGCTTCCTGCCAATCAGGGAGCCCGATGTAGGTAGGACTCGATCCCAGGACCCTGGGATCATGACCTGAGCAGAAGGCAAACGCTTAACCGACTGAGTCACCCAGGCATCCCACCTACTGACTTATCTGTTAACATCAATTATGACAAGATGGGGAGAATGAGGGAATTATTAATCTTTTCCTTATTTATCTATATTGTTTCACCTTTTTTTTTTTAAGGATTTTATTTATTTGTCAGAGAGAGAGTACACAAGCAGGGAGAGCAGCAGGCAGAGCAGGAAGCAGGAAGAGGGAGAAGCAGGCTCAATCCCAGGACCCTGGGACCATGACCGGAGCCAAAAGCAGTTGCTTAACTGACTGAGCCACCCAGGTGTCCCTATATTGTTTCACTTGTGATAGTGAGTCTGTATTAGTTTTGTAACTTTAAAACTTCAATATATAACATGTTAACATGTATCATATACATTACAATTATATATTTATATGTATTTTTTATATTTATATTTAATATAATATATAAGTTAATGTAAACAATATAATATTTATATGTTATACAAATATAATATATGCATATATTATAATGTAACATATATAACAATTTAAAACATATAACAAAATAATAAAGTTTTCATAAAGGTTTTAAAGTTTAAAAGATACTTGTGCTATATCCAGACAATGGAGTTTTATTTGACAAAAAAAGAATGAAATATTGATACATGCTACAACTTGTATGAACCATAAAAGCATAATGCTAAGTGAAAAAAGCCAGTCACAAAGAACCACGTATTGCATGATTTCATTTATATGAAATCCCCAGAATAGGCAAATCTATAGAGACAGATGAATATGGAGGAAGTCGGGTGGGATGGGCAATAGAGAGTGACTGCTAACTGGTAAGAATTTCTTTTTTGGAATGATGAAAATGTTCTAAAATTGATTATAGTGATGGTGCAAATCTCTGTGAATAAACTAAAAACCACTGAACTGTACAGTGTATATTGAAAGAGCTTCAAAAAGCTATTTTAAAAAATTTTGCCCACTATTAACACTATTAACACTTGTCTTATTCATTCAAGACTATCTTTGAATAAAATCGAAGAACGTGCCCCAGATTCTAAAGACAATTACACAAATAGAAATCTTAAGTTGTAGTCTGAAGAAACTATTCTAAAGAGGACATCACGTTTTTGGATGTGTACATTCTCCTATGTTTAAAAATATTTCACATAAAAAAATAAAAATATTTCACATAATTTATAAAATGCGACACGAAATGCGTAATGATTACACCGAACCACATTTCAGAGTCCTAATTCTTCCACCCCCTTCGAAGAGGGCTGAAATTTGTATATCTTCTGACTCAATTAGTTTTAGGATTCTTTGACCGATTTGCCTAAATAACTATTTCTTAAATATTTTCCAAAGTGCATTGAGTATACCAAGGAAATGAAAATATCTGAAAAGATTTTCCTGGCTCTCAAAAATCTGGTTACTAAAGACAAATTCTTCTTAATGAACATTAATGAACAATAACGTAATGGAATAGGAATAGTCCTTCAACCGTATTGGGATGAGAGAAGATAACGTCCTTTCTTATATTAATGAAAAATAGCAGATTAAGACTCTTAATAAACTTTATTTTTAAATGAATAAATCCTCACATAGGAACAAATGTTTGCTTGCATTCAGTTCTAAAAGATTTTAGCGAAACTCATAACCATCAGCGCCGCTGGTGTAGTGGTATCATGCAAGATTCCCATTCTTGCGACCCGGGTTCGATTCCCGGGCGGCGCAACTACCTTTTTCACTCCCGCCACCTATAAAACGAGGTGATCTGAACAGTTTTAATAAATCTTTCTTCCTCAGGAAACAATGAGAATTTTTCATTTCCATGAAGATTTCTATTTCATTATAATTCACAGTTGAAACTTTCGAATCTGGAGCTGGAAGAGAAAAACTTCACGCAACTCCTCAAAGAGTTAATTCTTACGCCTGCGCAGTCTGACATATCCTTGGTGTCCGCTTGAAGAGCGGCTGCGCAACAAGTGAACTTATGGATTGAAGGAGGTTGAAAGTGCAAGATTATTCTGCGCCTGCGCGGTCCCGGTCACTTCGCTGGCTGCTCCTAAGCTCCCGGCTCGCCGCCATCTTGTATTGGGGCTTCATTGTTCGCGCTGCGCCGGGTTGTTTAGTGTAATTGCCGCGGAAGAAGGAGGCGGACTGCGGTCAGCCGAGAAACCCCGCTATTCCGCAGCCATAACCGCTCAAAAGATTTGGGAGGTAGTAAAGGGTAGGGAGCTGGACCTCGAGGCGCCGGCGCGACAGCAGCAGCCATGGAGGACGAGATGCCCAAGACTCTGTGAGTCTGGGGCAGCGATGAGGAGGGCGGGATGGTGGTCGTCCCGGAGGGAGGCCTCGGCTCGGCGCGCTCCCCAGCCTATTGTTCTCTGTGGACGCCGCGATATCTTGGCTCTTCTCCTTAGCGCACACCTGGATGCTTAGGGACCGAACCCCGGGCTGTGAGAGGTCAAGGTGGAGGGAGAGGGGGCTCAGCCCTCTGAATTAATCCCGTCACCTTAACTACACCATAGCGTGGCCTTTGGCCTCGCCACGGGCCCTCTGTGGTCGTAGGCCTGGAGAAAGGACTTTTTCATTCAAACCTCGTTTCAGAACTCGGTGAACCTTCTTTTTTGTACCATGCTTTCCTTCTGTGTTTTTTCCGCTCCCCCCTTCTTGATTAATCTCTTTTTATCTTTATAGCCGTCTCTTTCATTTTACTTTGATTTGCTTCAGAAACTCTTCCTCTTCCTTTCAGTTTTCTTCTCGTTGATAGGAGTTTTTCTCTCGAGGCTGCTTGTGCTTCGTTTTCAGTGAGATAAACTTTATTCTCGCAGTTGCCAACTGGAAAAAAGCCAAATAGTTTTCTTTAACCTCTCTTTGGCTTTCCTTCTGTAGTACCCCTCCCCCCACCAAAAACCCGAAAACCCGACACCGTAAGGATTTTGAAACTGCTTTTTTTTAAAAAAAAAAATCTCACCCGGAGGTATATATAAATCTCTCAACCGAGGTGAAGTGGATTTAATACATTTTTATCATCGCTTGCTACTTTTGTGATTGACATGTGGCTGAACGAGCGGGCAGTTTTTATGAAGCAACAGTTGATAAATACCTTAACAGATTTAGTCACCTCTGAGAGTTGTTAGTGTTAAATAATCTCAGCTGGTGATATTTTCTTTGTCGTATAGCTTCCCCCACAGCATTCTCCTTTGTTTTTCAAAGTATTCTCGGAAGAGGTGATCTTGTCTTTGTTGCTTTTCTCGAAAAGAAGAAAAGGCCTGATGAGTTTTTGACCTTTTTGTTTTTATTCTTAGCATACTGGCGATTTGAGAACTCCATGCGTTAAAAATACAATTTTAGGTTTTTTCTGCATTTTTTTTAGATGTTACAGTTGTTATGAAGAAAATGCAATCGATTATTTTTTCACCCTGAAAAGTGTTTCCGTTTTTAATCTGTTTGAGAAACATAGTCACACTTGTTTCTTAAGAGATTTGTAAACTTTGATTCCTAAACTTTTTGCTAGTTTATCTAATAATCTGTTACCTTGAGTGTCTTTTTAATAGAATGCAAGAATTAGTGGGTGTCTCTTGTTTTTGAAAGATTATACCTATAGATTAATATTCCCTAAAAAACTGTTAGCCTCATAGGCTTTATGGAAATTATTTTTCCCCTTGCCTCTTTGCTAGAAGTATGACAGCCAGCAGCATATTGGATTAAGCACTGATCATTTTTTATAATGTCTTTAAATTTAAGATTCTTACATGATTGTGAAATTTTTAATTTCAGAAACTGCCAGAAATATCTGGGAACTTAACCTTTTTATTACGTTGATTTGGGAATGTCAAATAATGAAGACAACCTCAGCTTTCTCAGGCCAGTCTACAGAAGCAGGTAGTTAAATTGTACTAGCTTGGGGACAGGGGACCAACCATTGCAGGAGAAATAATGAAGGAAATTTTATTCACTTATTGAATGCTTATGATTGCCAGGTTCTGTGTTAAATGCTTTACATGCTTGTTTAATCTTCATCAGAACTCTGCAATAAAGGGTCCATTCTGCAGCTCAGGAAAAGCTAAGCTTAAAAAGTTTAAATAACTGACCCAGGGTCATATACCTTTTTGTTCATCATCCTGCAATTCTGCTGTCCTCAACTCTTTAACTCTTACTGCTAAATGTGCTTTGTATTCTTCTCTAGAACACCCCATCCAAGAACTCTTCCCCAAAGTGTAGTCCATGTTCTAACTGCCTATTACCTCCCTTGCTTCTACCTCCCTCAACCAAAACTCCCTGTTCTTCCAGTGAAACCAGTCTTGATTAAATGTGAGTAGGTGTAAATCACTAAGTTTTACCAGTAGTGTTTCGTTTTACCAGCAGTGTTTTTACTTTTTATATAAAATACTTGTTTTAAAGACCTTGCAAGTCAGGGTCTTTCAATATGTTCTTAGCACAGTGTCTAGTCTACGGTAAGTGATCAGTAAATTTATTTTAAAAGCCGGTACAATTCCAAGCAATGATTCAAGATTTTATTCATTCTTGAGGAAAAGATAGTCTGAATCTCAGTATCACCTGTGTACATAAATGGATCAGAGGAGATAACTTCATTTGCCACAGATGAGCATTCAGCATTAAATTAGAGATTGCCAGTGTTCAATTCCTTGTAAGCAGGACTTTGGAGACATTGTGAGAAGTGGTTTGATTTGGGGTATACTATGAAAATAGAGCAAAAGGAATTACCTACAGACTGGATGTGGGGTGTGAGAATGAAGTCAATAATAAGTAGGTTTGCTTACAAATGTGTAGTATCAGTCATCTAAAATGTTCGTTTGTTGGGCGGGGGGCTGGCTGGCTCAGTCAGTAAAACATGTGGACTCTTGATCTCCAGGTTGTAAGTTCAAGCCCCACTTTGGGTGTAAAGATTACTTAAAATCTTTAAAAATAAAATAAAAAGGTATTGCAAAATATAAGTAAAAATGAGAACAGTCTTGAGAACATGGATGTCTTAGGATGTCGGGGCATAACATTACATACATTTGTTCAGGCTGGTTTATGTATATGGTCTGATCTCCAAGTGAAGGAGGTACCAGCTAATGAAATATGGCGGTTTCAGCTATTAGAAAAGTGACAGTTGTTACTAATAGTAAGGTTATGATGCTGGTGTACCATTTGCTGTTGTACATAATTTCATAATTAGTAAAAGACATACACATTTCCTCCTGAATTAGAGTAATTATTTATAGAATACTTAAAATGTTCGAGGCAGGGCTCTCAACACTAGATATATAGTATGAGTAAAAATGAAAGTCTACCCCCCCGCCTTTTTAAGAGTTTATTTAAGTAATCTCTGCACCCCACCTGGGTCTCACACTCATGACCCCAAGATCAAGAGTCGCATGCTCCTCTGACTAAGCCAACCAGGCGCCCCACTGAAAATCTCTACCCTTAAGGAATTTGTCATTAGGTAAAATCCTATTTATGCTTTTCACTCATTTTCACAGAAACTTCATATCAAATTCTGCATTTTTATACAATGATTGCAGCTCAAAACCCAATACAGCATTCTGCTTTGTAAATCTTTACTGTCAAATTTTTAGAGCTATGCTAATAAAAATGAATATTTTAAATGTTTTGGATTCCAATTTTGTAACTATTTGAACTTAGCAGCTTCAAAAAAAATGTACTAAATTGATGTGAAATCCTATCCCTGGCGGAACTATCAAGTGTTAACTGGTAGCATTGGTGACTTTTCCATTGAATCTTCCCAGGTAGCTTTTTATTTTGAAAAGTTAAAAACCAGAAAAGTAACAAAATACTATGTTGTGGACTTAGGTACCTTTTGTGTGCTAATAACCAATTGCTAATAGCCAAATTTGCCTTATTTAGGTATATTCTTTTGATGAACCATTTGAAAAGATGTGACACTTCAGGCCTAAGTACTTTACCATGTATTTCCTAAGAACAAGACCATTTTCTCTCTCTCTCTCTCTTTTTTTAAGATTTTGTTTGACAGAGAGAGAGAACAAGTAGGCTGAGTGGCAGGCAGAGGGAGAGGGAGAAGCAGGCTCTCCGCTGAGCAGGGAGCCCCATGCGGGACTCTATCCCAGGGCCCTGAGATCATGACCTGAGCCGAAGGCAGCCGCTTTAACCAACTGAGCCACCCAGGTGCCCCAAGACCATTCTCTTATATAACCACAATAAAATTGTCATATTAAGGAGACTACATTGATACAATGTTGTTAGCTAATGTACAGTCTGTATTTATATTTATACAGTTACCCAAGGAAGACATTTTATAGTCCATGGAAATCTATTTGCTTCAACAGTTAATTCTCTTTACTTTCCAGTTCTGCACAAGACTGGTACATAATCTCAGTGGTGATATAATAAATATCAACATGGGATACTTTAATCCGTACTGTTAACAAGAAGTCCATGGAACAGCTAAAAAGGGATATTTTAATGTTTTTTTAAAGCATTTTGAAAAATACAAACTTGCATAAATAAGAAAATTACATTTTTGTTTAGTGGTCCAGTATACATGACAGGGAACCTTGGCTTGCCACTGCTCCAGTATCAGTTTTTTTATCAGTTGGGATTTTTTTTTTTTAAGATTTTATTTATTTATTTGACAGAGAGAGACACAGCGAGAGAGGGAATACAAGCAGGGGGAGTGGGAGAGGGAGAAGCAGTCTCCCCACCAAGCAGGGAGCCCGATGCGGGACTGGATCCCAGGACCCTGGGATCATGACCTGAGCCGAAGGCAGACGCTTAACGACTGAGCCACCCAGGCGCCCCGGTTGAAATTTCTTTTAATGCAGGAGCAAAAAAATTTAAGCATAAAAGCTATTTATAAAAACAACATATTGGACACTCCCACATTTGCAGGAAGGTTATGGAACCTGGCTTAGAAAATGTTCAGGAAAGTGAGACAGCTGTCAGGCCCACAGTCCTTATCAAGCCACAGACTATCCCAGAAAGGGTGTTACTACCACATCCACTGAGGACCAGATACCACCACAGCTTCCACTTTCACTGGACATGGGACTCTACTGCTGTTTGCCACAAAAATGTATTTTCTTCAGTCTCTTGCTTCTTTAAGCCCTCTCTTTGTCTTCTATGTTCAGGTCAGGTTTCTCTAATCAACCTAACCTAGATCACATGTAAGGGAGACTACAAAACCATATCAAGCCTTTTCAGCTTCTGTAGAGAAGTGAGCCTCTGCCATAGAGTGAGGATTTCTCTAAAAATAAGATGTTTGGCAGCACCCCCCCAAAAATAATCCACTACACCTATAACAAATCTATGCTGTTAATAGGAAATCCTTTAGCTTCAAAAACAGAATGTAACAAAGTATGGAACAGCTAAAGAAACATATACATAAAGAGACTTAACTCTGTATAGTGCATTCTACAAACTACAAGAAATTGTTTATTTTTCCATTGAAAGTATGGTGAGGGGGCGCCTGGGTGGCTCAGTCATTAAGCCTCTGCCTTTGGCTCAGGTCATGATCCCAGGGTCCTGGGATTGAGCCCTTCATTGGGCTCCCTGCTCAGCAGGAAACCTGCTTCTCCCTCTCCCACTCCCCCTGCTTGTGTTCCCTCTCTCACTGTATCTCTGTCAAATAAATAAATAAAAATCTTTAAAAAAGAAAAAGTATGGTGAGTATAAAAAGAATCTGCAGTTTTCAAATTTGGGCTCTCCGTTTCAGATTAATATTTATTTAGCAGATAGATTTGGAAAGTAGTAACATAAAGTTGCTTCTAAAAATCTGACATAGGTATTAATGATTAACTTATTGGTAAAAAGCAAAATTCTAATGGATTGCTTTTATTTGCATGAGGAAGGAAAAGAGATTTTGTCGTTTGATTTCTTTGATATAAAAATGTATGTATTACTTGTAGTTTATTGTAATGGTGTTGAAGGTTGAGAGCAAGTTGTTTGTGAAACTTCCCCTGAAGAGCTTTTCTCTAAACAGGTATATGTAGAGTTAATTTATAGAGGCTCCCTGGAGCTTACAATATACAACAGGTTGCATTAAATAATTGTAATACTAATCCTAGTGCTTTTTAATGTAGCTTTTTTTTAATTACATATCTTCAAGTAGGTAGTATCACTCAAAATATTTCTCAGAAAATTAGACAATTTTGCAAAGAGTAAAAGAATTTCCATTCCCTAAATACTGCCCACTTGTCACTAGATTATCTAGCTTTAGCGAAGTAGATGTTAGAAAGAGCCATTTTTTAGGGTGCCTGGGTGGCTCAGTCATTAAGCGTCTGCCTTCAGCTCAGGTCATGATCCCAGGATCCTGGGATCAAGTCCCACATCAGGCTCCTTGCTCAGCCAGGACCGTGCTTCTCCCTCTGCCTGCTGCTCTACCTGCTTGTGCTCTCTCTCAAATAAATAAAATCTTTAAAAAAAAAAACAACCATTTTTTTCATTTAGACATGTGCAATTCTGAGATTTTCTTATAGGTCTAAGAGTCGGGTGAAAATAGACATGGAAGAGTTGCAGAGATAGCACAGAGTTCTCATATAACCTTCACTCAGGTTCCCTTAATGTTGACATCTTACATAACCATGGTATACTTACTAAAAGTAAGAAATTGACATTGTACAATACCATTAACTACAAGGTTTATTCCAATTTCCCCAGTTTTTCTGCTAATATCCTTTTTCTATCCTGGGATCCAATCCAAGATACTACATTGCATTTCGTTGTCTTATCTCTTTACTCTCCTTTAATATGTGAGGGAATGCCTTTCATGACTATGGCACTCCCTTGAGAGGGTAGTGTTTCTTCACTGTACAGTGACTACTTTTTTTTTCTTCTTCAACACTTAACTAGAATTGAGTCACTAAGACTAACCTACACTCAAGAAAATGTAAATTTAGCTTCACTTCATAGAGGGAGGTTTGGACATATGTTAAAAAAAACCAATTCATTGGTTAAAACCAATCATTAAATATTTTAGTGGAGATACTCTGAGGCTCTACACATATCCTATTTCTCCTTAAAACTTCCACCAACTAAAAGATCCATGGGTGGATCTCACCAGTAGCAGTTCTTACTTTGCTGGCTTAATGGTGATTTTATTCCTTCTACATTTATTAATTAGAGTTCTCCAAGAAAAAGTTAACTCCTCTCCCCAAATCTAGGTTATAGGATTAGTCATTGCATTTGGTTGTCAGTGTCTTTCAGGTTTCTTTTAATCAAGAACAATCCTCTCTTGGGGTGCCTGGGTGGCTCAGTCGGGTGTCTGCCTTCGGCTCAGGTCATGATCCCAGGGTCCTGGGATTGAGCCCCGCATCGGGCTCCCTGCTCCATGGGGAGCCTGCTTCTCCAACTCCCACTGCTTGTGTTCCCTCTCGCTGTGTCTCTCTCTGTCAAATAAATAAATAAAATCTTTAAAAAAAAAAAAACCCTCTCTTAAAAATTTTTAGGACAATTTTTTTAGAGATCAAGTTGTCTCACATAATATTCCACATCTGAATTTGTATAATTTTTTTTTTAAGATTTTATTTATTTGACAGAGAGAGACACAGCAAGAGAGGGAACACAAGCAGGGGGAGGGAGAGAAGGAGAAGCAGGCTTCCTGCTGAGCAGAGAGCCCAATGCAGGGCTCGATCCCAGGACCCTGTGATCATGACCCAAGCTGAAGGCAGACGCCTAACGAGTGAGCCACCCAGGCGCCCCTGTATAATTGTTTTATATGCCCAATATTCTATGAACTTTTTTTTAAGATTTTATTTATTAGAGAGGGAGAAGCAGCCTCCCCACTGAGCAAGGAGCCCGATGTGGGGCTCGATCCCAAGATCCTGGGATCATGACCTGAGCTGAAGGCAGACATTTAACCAGCTAAACCACTCAGGCATCCCCCAGTATTCTATAAACTTAGGTTTAAATTTAAGCTTGAGGGCGCCTGGGTGGCTCAGTTGGTTAAGCAACTGCCTTTGGCTCAGGTCATGATCCCAGGGTCCTGGGATCGAGTCCCACATCAGGCTACCCCTGCTCTGCGGGGAGCCTGCTTCTCCCTCGGCCAGCCACTCCCACTGCTTGTGCTCTCTCTCTCTCTATCAAATAAATAAATAAATAAAATCTTTTTAAAAAAATAAATTTAAGCTTGATTAGATTCAAGTTAGACCTTTTTTATTTGAATACTTCATAGGTGATGTTGTATAATATATATTGTACACGCAAATGTCCATCCATAAAATGATTTAAAGTTTGATCACTTGCTCACAGGGGTGAAACAGCCAAAGCTTTCTCTTTTAAGGTAGAGTTTTCCCTTTGCGGTGTTCAGTAGTCTGTGTGGTAACTTTGGCACCCTGCAAATAACCATTTTCACACCAATGATTTTTGCCTGAATTAATCATTTCAATAGGGTTTATGCATTGTTTACTAATTTAATTCTCTCTACACTTATTAGCATTTTTCTGTAAATTCCCTCATCAACTAGAGTTATTAGATTATACTACAGTGGGGACTCCTGGGTGACTCATTGGGTTAAGTGTCTGCCTTTGGCTCCAGTCATGATCCCAGGGTCCTGGGATTGAGTCCCACATCGGGCTCCCTGCTCAGCAGGGCGTCTGCTGCTCCCTCTGTCCCTTACCCCACTCCTGTGCTCACACTCTCTCTGACAAATAAAATCTTTAAAAAACAAAAAAACTATGCTATCCCTTAAAAAAAAAAAAATTATACTGCACCAGAGTTTCTACTCAAAGCAAGATAAATGCTTACTTCTTTCCCTTTAATTACAGATATTCAGAATAAGGACATGATGTAATAATAGCCTCCAATACTGGAAAAATTATTGGGTATTTAGATGTTGCAGTTGATTTTTGAGTATCATTACTCTTACCTGATCTTTAAATTACTCTACCATGATCTACCTATCATTACTCTACCTGTTCATTGTTCTTAAGACTCATCCCTTCTCCCTTTGCCATTTTAAGCTGTTCCAATGCCTTCATAGTAAGCAATCAGTGTATGTGTCTTGAATGGGTAAGTGGAAGGAAGGAATTGGATCCATACTTTCAGGCATGTGTGGATATTTACTTTTCTGGGGAGAAAGTCTACCTCTACTATTCCTCCCGTTTGTGCTCTCTCCCTCTTTCTGTCAAATAAATAAAATCTTGTGTGTGTGTGTGTGCGTGTGTGTATATGTATATATACATAGATGTATAAACCAAAGTATACCTAAATTGGACAGTGTAAGGGGAATTGTGTGGATTAAAAATTGAGGAAATTTTAATGTTCTCAGTAATAACTGTAGAAGTAGAAATAATTGCAAAGCTTCCTAGGATTGATTGTATAAAACGTTCTATACATCTAATGATTTCATTTGAGATTTTTGAAAAATTTTTAAAAGATTTTATTTATTTTTGTGAGAGAGCGGAAGAGAGCACATGCATGAGTGGGGGGGAGCAGGATCGGCAGAGGGAGAAGCAGACTCCCCGCTGAGCACGGAGCCTGACATGGGGCTCCATCCCAGGACCCTGGGATCCTGACCTGAGCCAAAGGCAGACACTTAACTGAGCCACCCAGGCGCCCTCATATGAGATTTTTTTAAAGCATATCTTCCTAAGGTGAGCCTACAGACTTAGAAACATCAGGTTTAATTTGCAAAACCTTGACTAAACACACACACACACGATTCCCCTTTACTAGTGATGTCAGTGTAATTACAAGTAGCATGTCATACATCTGCTTTGAAAGAAATTTTGAAGTTTTGGCAAACTTTTAGAATCTGTTCCCTGTGGTGTGTAGTTTAAGGCAGAGATCTGCCTATTACCAAAATTTCTTTTTCAGTAAGCAACTTTAGAAACTGATGCAAAAGAAGCAAATTTAAAATGGTAAGTTGTTTTTCTTTGTGTTTCAGATATGTCGGCAACCTTTCCAGAGATGTGACAGAAGCTCTAATTCTCCAGCTCTTTAGCCAGATTGGACCTTGTAAAAACTGCAAAATGATTATGGATGTAAGGGTATTTTACTAGTTAACTTTCTTCTTTTTTAATAGATTAGTTAAATCCATTACTTCCAGGAACTCCCTCTATTTTTTAAAGAATAGTTTTATTTTTTAAGTATGCTCTATGCTCAACATGGGGTTCAAACTCATGATCCCGAGGTCAAGGGTTGCATACTCTACCAACTGAGCCAGCCAGGGGTCCCTCTTCCAGGAACTCTTAAATTAGTTTATACAGGGGTGCCTGAATGGCTCAGTAGGAAGAGCATGGGACTCTTGATCTTGGGGTCATGAGTTTGAGCCCCACATTGGGTGAAGAGATTACTAAAAAAAAAAAAAATTAAACTTAAAAACTGCAGGGTCATTCATTTAAAAAAAAAAAGTAGTTTAGGGGGCACCTGGGTGGCTCAGTCGTTGAGCATCTGTCTTCGTCTCAGGTCATGATCCCAGGGTCCTGGGATCGAGCCCCACATTGGGCTCCCTGCTCGGTGGGAAGCCTGCTTCTCACTCTCCTGCTCCCCCTGCTGGTGTTCCTGCTCTCGCTGTCTGTCTCTCTGTGGAGTAAATAAATAAAATCTTTAAAAAAAAAAAAAA